CCCCCCACCGCCTCCGTGCTCCTGATCCGCGGGATCTCGGTGCGCTCAGACACGCTCGGCTTTCAGACTCGTAAGGACCCCGATGGCCCCCCACCAGAGGGACTGTGTTAACCAGACGACCAGCTCTGGCTTCAGGCTCCCCTAGCGAAGGCAGGACCCTGCGAACCCGTTCCTGGAATACCGCATTGTTTTATAATTCGTAACCAGAGAGAAAGGTGATGATGATGCTGATGCTGCGCCCGCGATGGTGGATTTCCCTTTTGTGCGTCTGTGGATTGATGCACGTCGGTCACCAGAGCAGCCCTCATGCCCCAAATGGTAACTGATTTCTATTTTGAGTATTATATTAATTGCACACAGAATACGTTTAATCATCATTAATAGGCCAGTGTTTATTTTTATTTGGCTGTAGCTTCGGCTACTTAGTGATCTACATCCAACATAGTCTTTAGCTGTTTCGTGTTTTCAAAGGAAATGGGACCAATCGACATTTCAGATGGCGGTGTTTGTGGTGAATGTGTCTGTGGATCACCACTGATTTCCGCAAAGAGAGGCGGGCAATGAAATCGGTGTTTTCCTCTCTGTGCAGGAGACGCCTTGTTGAGTTTGAAGGCTCTTCGTGATGCAGGCAGGTTTGTTGGGAAGGAGGATACGGTGCCTCTCCGCCTGCTCTACAGCAGACACAACCACAGCCAGATCACCCAGGATGAGCTCAGCACCAGGGTTAAAGCCAGCCCCGGCTCCATACAGGTACAGTCCGCGATGCTGACGGGATTGAGGGGAGGAGTGTCTACATGGAGGCTGTGTGTGCTGGGAAGACGCTGGATCGGTTTCCAGCATGTTTGTTTGCATTGATTCATCCCCTCCTTTTAGCCTGTCCTCCAAGAGAACATTAATAATTTGTGAATTACTATTAAGACAGGAAAAAAACCTGTTAGGCAGAAATAGGCTGCACTAATTGTAATCAGACTGTCTGCAGGCACTATGTAATATGGGTCATCACTGCCTTCATAAGCAAAAAGCAGATCGCTTTTCATGTAAATTGATTGAATATACAGGACATCAGTTATCATTGTCTCTGTCTGCACATTTAGAAAACCTTCGGCTTCATCCAGCCAACCAGGATGCTCACTAATTTAGTGGGAACTTGCATTTTGTCTGTCCACCTGGGTTGCTGTCCCAACAGCTGTCTGGCCTGCCAACTCTTTTCTTATCGCACCTTAAGCTGCATTTTTATTCATGAATGTGTCCAGAGCTGGGCTGATAGTTTGATTAGTAAAGTGGTTATCATCATCACAAAGTATCTGCCTACATATCAACCAGTATGTACCAACTGCTGTATGAAGTGCTGAAGTAAATATTTAAAGTAATTTAGAAACAGTGTTGACATTTAGCCGATCACCAGAGGGCACTGATAACCTTATTTGTCAGCTGTTAAATGGCACATGTAGGTGCACATGTAGACATACTGTCACAACTCTAAATAATCAAAGGGATCCTTATCAAAAGCTTTTATTTGTGATGTAATGTTTAAAAACGTGGAAAATGTATCTACATTGGGTTATTTCAGCTCTGAAATATTAATATAAGTGTTGGCCTCAAAAATGTGTTATGTTTTGGGCCCTACCGACTGCATACCGGTAATTGAATATTTATTGCAATGATCTACAGGAAGTGTGTTCTGGAGATGGACCGATTGCTATAATAGTCATTACATTTTAAAAATAGTCATACATTTTAAAAAGTATATACATTTATACACACATTTATAGTTATTTTAAAGGTGCATTATTTAAGATTTTAGACATTGTCTGATAAATAAAGTGAAAATGTGATGGGACGTGGTGTCTGTTGTAGCTATCTAAAACCCATTGGTACACAAGTATTGTTTGGCAAGAAAGCCTTCCAGAGTCATTTGGCCTTGTCTGTAATAACTGATACAGCACAGCAATAATCACTATAACTGCTCACTGACTCAGTTCAGTGAAGCAGCTTGTCTACTGGGTTCATTTCAAGGAATGAGTCAATTAGCGTCATGCAAACCTGTCATGCATTTTTATTTTGTGCGGCTTAGGCTTGTGCAGGCTCGCCTGTTTAGGGCTCAGAGTGTAGAAGGCTACAGATGGCAGCAGGCAGGGAGGTGTTAACCCTTTTGTCTCTCTCACACCTCAGTCAGAGCTTCAATCCAGTGGGTAAATTAGCTAATGGGAACCATCTGCCATCAAATATAAATGGAATATTTTCTTTTTGAATATACTGTGATGAAATTAGCATCTCATCACAGGTTTGTCACATAACACAAGGTTTCTGTGGGCTCGATTTTAAAGAAAAGAGACTAATTTCTGCAGACCATGGTGGTTTTTACCTTCTACTAAGAGCCTTACTGAGATTTGCTCAAACCATGTCATATCATGCCTAAACATGTATATTTTAAGGAGTCATTTCTCTCTTTGCAGTTAAGATGAGCATGTAATTCCTGAGTTTACAGCCCAGAAGATGTTTATTTTACTCTGTCTGAAAAATGTTGCGTCAACTTATGGTTATTAAAGTAACTCCCATATAAGAAATAAAATGTGCTATATGTTGGGAGGAACAGATGCGTGGTAGGAGGGGGAGGAGACATCTTGGCTTCTTTGATTTGATTTGCATTCTGAGTTGGTTATTCTTTGGAGATTTAACACTTGTGATGTCACTTGCACAAAGTTTGATCAGTTATTGCCTATTTTTAGATCAATAGCCTAAAAACAAATCTGTCAAATAGTCCTGAAACTGTTCGACACCCAGGAAGTTATTAATAGACTTCTGTTGAATTGTCTATTTTCAGTTTCAGACACAAACACCACTGAATGAGCAGTGGGGAGTTCAGCAGAGTGCTCCTGTTGTTTTGGTGGAAAACTAAATGCTTCAAGTGGAATCAGTCTGTGTTGGTTTGCATGTTTTCATGCCTGACACCGTCTGTATGTTCAGTGCACTGAGAGCACTTAGTCATACTTCAACAGCCATGAGTGGAAAGTCAGGCCTGAGTTGGTGGTGGTCTCAGAATACTGGCCCCGTTCAGTCAAGCTGGGATGAGCTTTCACTGAAACACAATTACTGGTACCTCCTCCTCCCATCATGAGTCCAACCTGCCAGATTAGATTTCATCTTAAGTGTGCTGTGGAACGGGGTTGCCCTTTGCACATGCTCAGACACACTTCTACAAACAATAGAGTCTGTGGCCACTGGGGACCTCATGGACTAAGGTCATCCTTTGGTGAACGCAGTGACACCACCTCGAATGGAAACCAGAAACACACACACTCATCCTCCCTCTGGTTTTATGCAGTATTGAAGGTAGTAGCCCATGGACCAAGCATGGGGGAGGGTAAGTCTGAAATCTGTTCTGGGACTCCCCTGCATAGGAATGATTGCAGGGAATTCTCATTGACCCAGGGGTGTGTAATGAATCTTGTACCATATGTGCCCAGTACTAGGAAAGAATCGGACCCTCCACCAGCCAAATCAAAAACGTACAGTACATGCAGTCAAGGAAGAAAACATGTTTGTGTACATACATGTATTTGCTGCCAGAAAAAAAATATAGTAACTCAAGATCAATCTATTCAGTGTGGATTTAGGAATTTCAGTGAATCCAAAACTGTTATACCTTTACAAAACCAACCAGATAACCACAGAAATACATGGACAGTGAGGCAAAAGAATAATTTTGTTTCTTATTTACTGAAGGCTTAAGTTGAAAACAGCAGTACATTATATTGTAAACATTTTTTTAAGTCTGTGTTAAACAGTTTTTCCTGATTTGCAGCTGAAGTGTTCCAGTGAGACCCTTTGAAATTCAAAGACAAAGAAGACCAACCCTGAGTTATATTCTTGCTGCTGACTGATGCTGACAAAGACAATGCAGCAATCCATCAATGCCTATTAGAATCGATCCATGCAAATGATAATGATGTAACCACAAATATGGTGCTGGTTGCCTTTAGAGTAAGTATATAACCTGTCTTCTCTGCCTTTTTTAGTTGAACCATGTGGCCCAAGCAAGCTTTCAAGTCGAAGCTTTTGGTAGAAAATTCATCTTGGATGTGGAACTGAATCAGTGAGTATTACATTATTAAATCTGTCTGAATGTGAAGCCATCTGTGTAACCTGCTCTGTCTCTCCAGCTACCTGTCTGTCTGATTAACTATCTGTTGTCTAGCTCTCTACCAGCTAGCTACAGTATGTAGCTCTTTGTTTTATTAGTCTGCAGGGTAATGTCTTAATTGCAGTTGTGTTAGTGGCTTCATTATGCTATGGCTTAGCTGACAACCACTGTAGTTTTATGTGTGAAGGAGGAATCAGGCATTCCCTAAATGATCATGAAACGACTTTAACGTTCAAGTCATGGTGGCACTGCTGCACAGAAGTCATATTGTTTTGCTCTCTGTTTTTGTAAATGTACTTTTAGGATCTGAATAATATCTAGGGTTGTTGTATGCTGAGGTGGGCCATTGTATGTATGAATGTACTGTATATGTTCAGGATCTGTGTGTGCGTATGTTTGGAGCAGGTCAGTTATTTTGTGTGTGTGATTGTAAAGGTTGCATCGTAATAGGAAGTGATTTACAGTAAAGACTGGAGCTCTGCCCTGTCAGACTCCGATATTGATCAGAACACTGTGGATGGAAAGTGAGCAAGTGTCCCTCCTCAGTTTCTCTCTCTGCTTATTTGCCTCCACCTCATGCGCTTAATGAATCTCCCTTTTTTGGCATCTTCCTCTAAACCTTTGCTTGGCCTCCTGGTTTTGTTTGTTTCCCTCTGTCACTCTTTGAGACCAAGACCATAGTGCCTTGGTCTCAAAAAAGAAAAACAGATGATCTGTACGTCTGTAAACTTGGCACTTACACAGTGATGCTGCCTGCTCATCACAGCGGAAGTCACTCCCCTACTGAGCGAAACATTACAACGCAGGAATTCCCAGGTGTGGAGGATATACGTCTGAAAAGCCTGCAGCTCAATGAGTGATGCATCAGCCAGTCATGGATATGAATGTGTCATCTATACAATCGTGCATGTATGCACACACATTTTCATCAGCCGTTGGTTTGATGCAGAGTCGTCATTCATCAGTGTGACAGTGTGTGCTCACAGTGATGTGGTGGGAAAAAGACCATCAGAATATGAGAAGAAAGGAAACATTAATATGAAACTCTGTCTTTAGCTTACCAGACAGTGAACTGGGTTCCACCCAGACAGCTCTGGGCAGCAGTTTGACAGGTGTGACTCTGAATAAGAATGAGGGACTGAGATCAGTGCAAGAGCAGTGTACTGTGTGACTTTTATGTTTTATCTAAAAATCTGTGTAAAACATCAATTAGCCAAGGTGAATAATCTGCAGCTATCTGTTAACCGATTAGTTTGAGAAAGGAGTTAAACAGTTAAAGTATTTAGATCAAGCATGGGATGATTTGCTGCCTTTTGTTGAATATTTTTAGGGTTTTGAGTGTTGGTCAGAGAAAACTACCAATCGGATGTCTTCGTGATCAGAATGTTTTCAAATGTTATCACCAAAACAACTCTGAAACAATTAGCCAGTTTATAGAAAATAAATTATTTTGATAATCAATTAAGTAGTTTATTAAACAACAAGGTTGGTTTCAGCTTTTCAGATATGAGAATTTGCTGCTTTTCTATCATTAACTGATCATTTTTGAGTGTTTGTTTGTTAGTTGGTCCATCAGTAATTTTAAGACCTCAGCCATCAGCTGTGGAAACGATGGACAGGCTAAGCCACACTAAAACCTCAAAATACAAATCAAAATTTTCCCCAGAGGTGTGTCTTTTGGTAGATATATCAACATGGGTGTGTGTACAACTGGACATTTTTCTGGTAAAATTGTTTTAATAAGTTATTTGATATAAAAATGGGTGTATTGCAGTTTATTTGACAGCTTTGGTTGGAGGTCTGATGCTGTCACTCCACGTCTGGTCACTACTGCACAGAATCTGGCTGCAAAAACGCAAGCTGGCAGCTGCTGTGTTCACGATATTTTGGTTTCATTTTTGCATAGTGGAGAGAAGTGGTGACACAATGTTCATATGTCAATGACCTCAGCTAATAATCTAAAGATTATATATAATAATAATATATTAGATGATTCAGTAATGAAAATGCACCTACACTGTGTGTGTGTGCGCGCCCTGATTGGTGTGGACATGTTTTGGCTTATAGTTTGTGACTCTGCATACAGCGTCTGAATGAGTACATTCGATATTCCTCCTCCTGCTGCCATCCTCTCTCCTCTGTCATCCTTGCCCTCTAACCACCCTCTTGTGTGAACTGACCCCTGTTTGACAACCGCACCGATTTTGTTTACTGATAGCTTTCATGCCAGACAGAATGAATCCATTTGATGTGTGTGGGTGTAGGAGTGGGAAGTATTTCAGCTGTATGTGCCAGCATTGTTTTTTTGTTTTTTATACTTTGTTTTGCTCCCAGTAACAAAACCTAGCTCTCTGTTTAATCAATGAGTGACTCTGCTGCTGCACATTTTTGTGTGTTTAAACAAGGTGTGTTTTCGGCTTTAGTTGTCGACTGTGTATCATAATTATTGTCATTTTTGAGCAACCTTTCAGAGCTTTTACCTCGAGTTGACGTTTGGCCATAGACTGTTAATAATAGGAGTGTAGGCGTTTTGTTAAAAAGTCATATCTCGTGAATTCGAAGTGCATGTGCTTTTTGGACACGTTGGTTGTTAGGTGTACATTATCATAGTGCTCTTACTTTCAGATGTCAAAAGTGAACTCCTGTGATTTTTGCCTATGGGAGAGACATTGGCGCATGGAAAACATCAGTCTTTAGGTCACCCCAACGCTTTGGTGGGCCAGAATGAAATGTCTCACCAACGTCTATTGGATGAATTGCTATGAAACTTGGTACATTCAAGGCGCCTGGATGATTAATTCTGGTTATCAATTTTATTTGTCCAGTGCCTGACAACTAATGAGATTCCCATCAGCCTCTGTACTAATAACCAAATTTTAGCATCTTAGCATTGTCTGTATGAGCTCTTTGTTAGTATTTAGCTCAATTATTTGTATTTGGTTTATTTAAACAATTCAAGCTGTGTTCACATAAATGCTTGTATTTTTATCTTTTAGTTTGACTTTTTCTAACTTGGTTCAGTTTATCCACTCTAACTGGTTCAGTGTTATTGCAGCTTGCCTATCCCAGAATGCACTGCACAAGAGTTGGAGTAAACCCTTGTGAGGTTGCTGCTCAATGACAGAACTTGCATCTTTCATCAGTAACATGCTACAGTATATTGACACGAGCACCCATTTCAAGTGTGACGGTGTATAAAGAGAAAGTCAGGAGGGGGTTGGTGGGTCATGGGGTCTTTATTCCCTCTGTCTTTGTCCTCTTACTCCTCCATCTTAGTGGCTGGCTAAAATTTACCATTCATGGGACTAGAGTGAATGGAAAATGTGCACAGGGTTGGGGGTTGTCTCTCTTTTTAATCATCATC